GGAACATGAAATTTATAAGACTAACAGACAGTAGAGGTTGTTTTTTACTGATGTCGTTTCCTCTCAGCTCAATGCAAACTTTACTAAAGTCCCGGAGGTGCCCCCGCTCCTTGCCTCTTTTAATGAGCAGCATTTAATTGGCAGGATAGTCAACCACTTCACTCCTGTGGAAGCAGAGAGAGATTTTCCATACAGCTTTTTTAGTTTTAGTTTAGCGAAAATAAAATCCCACTAAAGCCGTTCTCGTGTTGTTTTTGGACATAAATTGCTTTTGCTGCTTGTAAAAACTTAAAAAAGGGACCAGATGTTTGTTTTTTTCTTCTTCCTCGTGTTTTTATGGTTAGAACCAGTGAATTAAAAGTGTGGGTTTTTGTTAGTGATGTTTTTATTGTCTACAATAATAGAAAATAATTATTTAAACAAAGAGACATGCTTGGAATGAGATTAAAAAGGACATGACTCAGTCTGTAATGGATACTGAGCTTTCACCTTTCACCTACTTAGTCTGGGCTGTGGACAGGAGAGGGTTAATGCAGCCCTTTCTCTGTGCATTGATCACAGACTGTGGTGGGCCACTGTCTACAAGGCGGGGGCAGTTAGGACCCCCCCTCTCTGTACCACTGGCACTCGGTTTGCTGTGAACTTTCCCCTGATTCTCACAGTCTTCACAATTTGCCGAGCAGCAGATCTTTAAACGAAGACACGTGGGACCGTTTCGTACACACCCTCGACTCCATGGCAACATTCAAGCCTTATGTCATCAGTGAGGAAATACAAGAAAACGCTACATTGTGTCAATTTAATTTAGCGTATTCCATCCAATGTGTCTCCAGCTTTAAAAAAATGCAAATTTTATTAAGATGAGAAATAAACTGATTTTTTGGCTGATTTTAACAACGGATAACTCCCACACTTTATTTTGTTTATTAGCGGTCATATATGGAGTCAAAGAAATATGGAGATAAATCAGTCAAAATGCAAAAGATTACATTTCAAACTGAAAATTTACACATTAAAAAAAATAAATTCTTGAAAAATTCAAACACTGAAATTCTAAAATTCCCTTTAAGAAAGTAAAAAAAACAAACTTCTGAACATTCTTTCATTTTTAGCTAGAGCGCTTTTCAATGGCCGTTTCTCAATTCATAAGAACGTGAGTACGGACTCGTGTTCTCGCCGAGTTCGATTCTATTCAGTTTATTTCTATATTACAATTCACAATCTCAAGGCTCTTTCCAGTTCACCAGATCATACAGTCAAATTTATTCAGTTTTCTATCTAAGGAAAACCAGTTGATTGCATCGACTCATTGACTCAAATACAATCTCTCACACTAAGCATGCTTGTAGCGACAGTGGAGAGGAAAAACTCCCTTTTAACAGGAAGAAACCTCCAGTAACCTCCAGCCAAGTATGTTCTTGAGAAGAACACAGGAAATTATGGACCTGCGGAGAACGCGAGCACGCAGCATAAATGTGGGTCAATTGGAACAGAAGCGTACTGATGACATCACCACATGCTCGGCTCGTCTGGAGCTGCATTTCACTTCCTGTTATTAATAGTCTCTAGATAATAATAATTACCTTCCTTTTTCATTTAGTTGGGGAATAACGATGAATGCAGTCAGATAAACACATCAAATGACCCATTTGCCAAATAAACAAAAATATCGCCATTAGAGCCAGCAGTCCTTCACACACGGCTATGCGGAGAGAGGGCTGCTGCAGAAGGGCTAATGTTAGCCCTGGCTAGCTGTACAAGCAAGGAATAACCATTGGGTCATTATTTATACCTAAAACCAATACGCTTGTGGTGATTTAATGAATTTAGCATTAATCAGTAAAAGAATAAAAACCATAATTTTCGTTGCGATCACTGAGTCCGTGAGCGGCCATTTTTGTCCAAATATAGTAGCCCCTCTCTCCTGCCATCTTCCAGCAGTGATGTCACGGTGCGGTAAGCCTAGCGCCATTCTCCCCGCTTTACAAGCAAAATCAATGGGAACTACTAGACACATCTGTAATCAACAACAATTATTGAAGATTTCCAGAGGACTTCACCATTGAAATTTATGAGAGCCGGGCGTTCTTAGGTTGCGCAGTGGTTAGCGCACACAACCCATGTATGGAGGCCTTAGTCCTAAACCCGGCAGACCTGTGGTCTGATCTGTGGTCCTTTGCTGCATGTCTCTCCCCTTCTCTCATACCCTCTTTCTTGTCAGCCACTAGTGTTGTAACCCCCCCCAAAAAAAACTTTTTTTTTTTTTTTTTTGCAAGAGCTATAGTGAAACTGACAATGCCCACGTGCATGGCAGCTGGATGCTGGAATACATCGGGTAAAAGTGAAAAAAAAAAAGACTTATTCGACCTTTCTGATTCCTGATCCTCCACGGACGGGTTGGTCGTTGGATCGCCAACTTGAAGAGGGAGGATTTGCCATCGAACTTCTGGCCAGAGAAAAAACCCGTAATATGTAGCCAACATTTGGAAGAAGAATGTTTTCAAGATGACTTGGATAATAGCGCATTGTGACAAACACCAGATACAGCACTGGGACTTGATCAACAGCCGATACCGCACCGTGACGTCACAAACCAGTAGGTGGCAGTAGTGTGTAGTAAAGCACATTCACATGAAAATTACTCTGAATGAAAATCATTTATTGAACTGGATGGAATAATTTCACATTTAAAGTACTTTCAGAAATTTGACTTCTGAATATGAGCGGACTTCTCCTTTAATAAAAAAATTTAAAAAAAGCCTTAAAGCTACAGTGTGTAATTTTCAGCGACATCTAGCGGTCAGACTGCAGACTGCAGCAACATGAACATCGGCGAGCGTTACGGGACAAAATGTCTTCCACGACGTCCGCATCACCTACCTTCTCAAGTGATGAGGTTTGTTTACATAGATAATTTTACAGATAGTATTTCATTAGTCTGTGTAGGGTATATTGTTCAGTACCGTCTCAGTTCATCTCTCTCCACTTGCCGTAGTTACTTTCGAGCGTAATGGGCGATCTCGCAATCGCTAGTTTGTTGGCTCTGCGCTGCAGTAGCGCAAAGATGTCTGCCTCCATGGCTGCGAGACCCGCTCCTATGTAATTATAAATAACGAATTCTAAGGCAACGCAAATATTAAGGATAAGAGGCTGAGCTCGTAGATGATGATAAATAACATAGTTATGTATAATATATTACATTTCTGACTATATATCCCTGTAATTATTACACACTGTAGCTTTAAGACTTCAACGAGAAGCTGCTGGTCGTCACATTTTTACAAATGGATAAAACAGCTTTAATTTTACATAAGGTTGATGCCTAAAGTCTCAGTTAACAAACCAGTTTACTGATAATCGATTATCAGATTCTATTTCTGGTTATTGATAATTGAATCATCATCTCCTCTTCAATGTTATAAAGGGGGGACTCTTTCTGTTTTCTTTAGCTCTTAAGAATGTTTTGTCAGAAACAAAAAAAATATATGTTTTTTTAAACAAATAAAAAGATTAAAAGTGAAAATAACATATTTTTTCCATACTCGCTTATTTAACTTTAACTCCTCCTGACCAGTAAGTGGCGCTGTCATACTCACATGCTCTAGTTCTTTACTGTTTGCGAGCCAGTTTCTGGATCCACTAATGCTAATGTTTCCCTAAATCAGCAACAACTTTTAAAAGCTTCACCGATGTTTGCCTCTTTTTTATTAGTTTTTCTTATTATTTCTCAGCTCTATCATGGAGCCGCTAGCACCAAGCTATATCTGCACTGGAAAAAAATCGAAATCTAGATAAGTGGTGTTTTCTTAAAATAAGTGTATTTGTTCTTGGATTTAGTAGGTAAAAGAGAGATTTTGCCAATGTAACAAGACAATTTACACTTACAATAAGAAAATACAACAACATTGTCTTATTTCAGGTGCATTTTATCTAATTTTCTGATTTTAAGAGTAAAAATACTCATTCCATTGGAAAACTATCTCATTTACCTACTCAAATTAAGGGTAAATATACTTAATTTAAGAAATTTCTACTTATTTTTAGATCCTTTTTCCAGTCTGGCTCCAGGGACTTTCACCTACTATTCCTAATGATCTGATCCTTTCATGTCAATGTTGGCATCATAACATGAAGTTAACATTTATACATTTTGGACTCTTCAAAATCAATCAAAAAATGCATTTATATACTTTTTTTTTTTTTTTTCAATAAAATTGACATTTTTATTCTGCATTGCTCCAGACATTTTGTGGCTGTTTTATGTTAGAAAAAAGATCTATGTCCTTTAATATCTGATCTGTTCCTGTTTTAGTAATTACATTTTTTTTTCTTAATCCTCCTGCTTAATTTGGTAATATTATTAAGGAAACTGTTTAAGTAAGTAATGTTTATTTATGGAGGTCAAAAAGTGCTTCACAAAATTAGAATATAAATAAAAAATATATATATAATGACAAAAGAAATGGTCAGGAAACAACCCTTAATAAGTTGTGCAGATAAAATGGCAGAAAATTAACTCATGTTTGTTTGAACAGATAAAGATTCCATTTTTGATTCTCAAATCCGCCTCAGAGATGTGGAACCGATTTGTTTTCATCTTTCTTCAGACATTTTAAAATGTTTCCTGTGACTCCTTGCATCTATGGAACAGTTGGAACAAACTGACCGACCATTCAGACTCATCGGCTTGTATCTGGCTCCTGATATCACTATCAGTCCATTCAGGGTGTTCCTGTGCTGCTAAATGGATAAACTACCTGGAAAAGTCACATCGTTTGAACTCAGCTGTGATTCAGCTCCGCTTCTCGAAGATGGGAGGACGACTGTTTGCCATCAGCTGATAGAACAGACCTTTGTGTTATATCATCAGGAGCTGAATGACATGAAAGCTTAACAGAGAGATGGAGGAGGAACAGAAACCTGAGAGGAGCTGCACCCCTCCCTCCGCTTGCCTGGCCAATGGCAGGCAGCTGCACAGCTTACACTGGAGGGCTGGGAAACTATAAAACAGTAGAGCTGTGTCTGTGGATCCAGGAGCCTCAGCTCTCTGAATCACAGGAAACTTTGACAGGACACAGTTTAAGGGGGCGTCTCAGCCATTCAGCAGCAATGAAGACCTCCCTGGCAGCTCTGACACTCTGCCTGCTGGTACTGATGGTCACAGCCTTCCCCTTTGAAAGGAAGGGGGCTTCGCCAGGACGCACCCAGTACGCAGCGCAGGATGACTTCAATATCATCGCCCACGGCCTGCTGCAGCTGGGCCAGAACCTGAAGGAGCATGTAGACAAAACCAAAGGTCAGATGAGAGACATTTTCACCAAGCTGAAAGCTTTTAACCGCTCCATGGCTGAGCTGGGGAAGGAGAGCCAGAGGCAGCAGGCGGAGGGGGAGACCCTGAAGACTCGAGCTGTGGGGATGGAGAACAGAGAGGGACAGCTGATCAATGTCACATCTGAGCTGAGAGAGAAAGTGGAGGAGATCCAGCAGGAAAGGAGGACCATGAGTGAGAGGATGAGCCGGCTGGAGGAGAGGGTGGACAGCATGCTGCAGGGACACATGAGCCCCGGTGCCAGGAACAGCAGTGATGGACACAGCATCCAGGTGAGACTGAAACCGTTAGCGAACTGGAGGTGATTTGATGTGGAGACGGTAACTTCGTTTTTGGGGACTTTTATCTTCCTACAAGACTTTAAACTTGAAGCTGTTTATGCTTTCTCAGTCATTCAGGTCATAGTCATTACAAAAAAGGATTTAAAAAAACTGTCTACTGGACTGTTTCCAAGATTGGCTACATTTCGCCTTCCATCTAGGAAGCCTTTTAATTCAAAATGTGACATTTATGACATTTCTAATTGAAAAAGCTTCCTGGATGGGAAGCAAAATGTCTTCAAACTTGGAAACAAAGTCCAGTGGATTGTTTTTTTTTTCCTTTTTTAATTGAAGCTCTTTATTTTTACTATAGAGGTCTGCAAGGGACAAAGTGTGCAGTGCACTGAATGACAGCAGTGGGTGGTAAGCAGCTCAAGGGAATGAAAGGGGTCGTGCAGTACGTGCAGAGAGACTTAAGGCTGCAGACAAAGGGTTCTGGCTGCTTTAGATGATAGAAGAACTAAATGGGTTCCTAGCGCCCCGGGACTTGAATGGTGAAATGCTGAGAGGCAGCAGATGGCTGCTTATAAAAGCAGAATTTATGAACACAATTTCAAAGCAGTTACATAACCACAGCTTAAAGTTCAGTTAGTCTCTGGTTTTAAGTTAAACCCAGCCGGCCGCAGGTTGTTTAGTTTGGGTTCATTTTTACGCACAGACCTTTTTCTGAAGCAGTGTTATCAGAAAGATCTAAAAGGTTTTTATTTGTGTTGCTTATTTCTTTTAGCTCATGCTGGAGACTCAGAACAGGCGCATCGATGACCTGGTGGAGCGCATCAGGCTCCAGCAGGAGAAGCTCGACAAGCAGAACATGCGCATCAGGACGCTGCAGGGTCAGGTGAGCCGCGCTCAGACGCAGCGCGTAAAAACAAGGTTCTCTGATGGAGAAATCTTTTCCATTCATGTTTCTTTTTCTCGGTGTTATGACCTTCAGTTCAAACAGCCCGGAAAGAGGCCATCACCGCGGAGCGGCAGCAACGCCGATGGCGCAGAGGAGCAGCGCGACTCCCCTCTCGGTAAATAAAGCCCCGCAGTGTCAGAGATCCCCCTCCCTTCACACCGACTTAAGTGGACTGGACCTAATCTGACGCCAAGTGTGTCGAACCATCTGTTGGTTGAGGACAGAAAGAGGCTTAAATCACTGGCAATTAAAATCAATCTAATCGCAGAAACGGCAACAGGTGGATTTTCTGGATCAACTGTAACCAATTACAACTATTTACATTATTGTTATTTTTATAGCTTAAATAGCGTCAATGAAGCCAAACAGATTATCTGTATGTCCTAAGTAAATATTTAGGGCTTTTGTAATTGTATTACATTTTAATTTATTTTCTAGCACCATATTTCCTGTCATATCCTGCTAATTTACGCAGAAAACGGATCTGATGAATTTCTAGAATAGAAATTCACGATCAAAGCAATGAAATAAAATCTTAGAATTCAGCATCCCAGTTTGATCCTATATTCCTAATGCAAACCAGTTAAATTTACCTCCTGGTGCCAACTGGTACACTGGAAAAAAATCAAAATCTATATGTCATTTCTTCTTAAAATAACTGCATTTGTTCTTGAATTGAGAAGTTTAAAGAGACATTTTGCCAATGGAACAAGACAATTTACATTTAAAATAAGAAAACACAATTATATTGTCTTATTTCAAGTGCATTTTATCTAAATATCTTATTCTAAGAGTAAAAATACTCATTCTTGGCAAATCATTTCATTTACCTACTTAAATTAAGGGTCAATACACTTAATTTAAGACATTTTTTACTTATTTCTAGATCGTTTTTTCCAGTGTACAAAGCTATACACTGCAAAAAATTTAAATCTAAATAGGTCATTTTCGCTTGAAATAAGTGCATTTTTTTATGGAGGAGGGAAGTGAGACACTTTACCACTGGAACAAGACAATTTACATTTAAAATAAGAAAAAAAAAATGACTTTGTCTTATTTCAAGTGCATATTACCGTATCTATTTTAATTTAAGAGTAAAAATACTAGTTCCACTGGCAAATAAGTAAACATAACAACCTAGAAATAAGTAAACATTTATTAAATTGAGTGTATTTACCCTTAATTCGAGTAGATAAATTTTTACTCTTAAAATAAGATAATTAGATAATATGCACTTGAAATAAGACAATGTAATTATGTTTTGTTATTTTAAATCTAAATTGTCTTGTTCCATTGGCAAAATGTGTCTTTTATCTCCTCAATTCAAGAACAAATGCACTTATTTTAAGAAAAAAATTGACTTATTTAGATTTAGATTTTTTTCAGTCCACATTTCTTGTGTCGCAGACAAAACAACAAAACTGTAAAAATTAAACATTTTCTCCCCATAGAAATCTTGAATAATCTGAAACCCAGTCTTTAAACTTTCCCCCAGTTGTTTTGTGTCGAGATATTTAATTTCACCCAATCTTTACTGTATTTACTCAACATTCTGCTGAGAGATCATGTTGTTGAAAATAGTCTGTAGAAATGGGCAAGCTGTTTTGTGTTGTTTTTTTTTTTTTACAGTTGTAGCCATTCAAAATGGCCCTTCCCAGTCGAACGCCAGCAGAATGGCTGCAATAACCCCTCCAACTTCCAGCCAATGGCCTTCTACTGGGCGTGCATCTTTTTTTTACTCTGACTCCACCCTTTCACTGAATTACAGGGTGTGACCAGGAAATGATGCTTCTCTTTAGATTTTAATGTCCACAAATCATGACAGAAAGAAAATTTTAGTGCAAAAATTTATGTTTAAAGGGATAGTTCGGGATTTTTGACATGAATCTGTATGGCATCCCCATCACCAGTGTCATGCAATCACACTGACTTACCCCTGGCAGCATCCTGTGAGCAGAGTTCTCGTCCAGCTTTGGTCAAGCCGAAAGTAGTCCGGCAGGTTTGCTAGACCCAGCGAAATAAAACGTTTCTCTTCCCAAAACATTATGTGTTCAAAAGAGCGATATTTTTGCATCCCAAAAACATTGTAGTGGAAAAAGTCACACGTCGTTATCACTTGGTCCTATTTTCTCTCTGTTCGTATCAGTGCGCGCCGTCATTCTGACAGCGAGCTCAACAACAGCCAGATGCATGTCTCGCTCCGCCTAGCTCCTAGCTAGGCGGAGCGAGACATGCATCTGGCTGTTGTCAGGTTAGTAGGCCCTAGCTGTCAGGTCATGGTGTCGCGCGCACTGATACGAACAGAGAGAAAATAGGACCAAGTGATAACGACGTGTGACTTTTTCCACTACAATGTTTTTGGGATGCAAAAATATCGCTCTTTTGAACACATAATGTTTTGGGAAGGGAAACGTTTTATTTTGCTGGGTCTAGCAAACCTGCCGGACTACTTTCGGCTTGACCAAAGCTGGACGAGAACTCTGCTCACAGGATGCTGCCAGGGGTAAGTCAGTGTGATTGCATGACACTGGTGATGGGGATGCCATACAGATTCATGTCAAAAATCCCGAACTATCCCTTTAAAATGGAATTGTAGGGGATCAGGCAAGGGCCCTTCAAGGAAAGTGGGGAAATTTTTAATGGCTACTACCGTAAAGGAGTCCTTGACATTTGCATAAAGCAAGTCCAAAGTTTGTTTTCTCTGATTCAGCAGGTAACAAACTGTTGGAACGTTGACAATTGACAGTGTAACAGTGAGGCGTAATTAAAATAACCAGTTATTTCCACAAATACATTGTTTTTGAAAAGAATGCAATCAGTAAAACTCAGTCTCACTCCAATATCAGAAGAAAAAAACAGATCTCCGACCCACTCTGCCGGTCTTCAGCTTTCTCCTCGCTATTTATTAAAGTCAGAGGGGGGGTCCCTAGTTACACAAGCTGAGGTTGCGCTAAAGGAATAGGAAACAAGAAATACAATTCAATTTGCAGCCTCAGTGAACAGATCAATTTGCATTTAAATGTCTTGCGGTCAAATAGTCCGAGAACCTCCTGGTTTAGTTAAGCTTGAGCAATATAGTTGACCTATACTGCTTGTGCAACACCTCTCTGGAACAGTAATATGTCACACATTATACATCATAAGAACAAACATCAAGTATCTTATACATAATTATTCCAACACGTTTCTATTTCTTTCTTTTAAATGTTTTTTTTTATATATATATTTTGAATGGCTACTACTGTAGATGTCTGAAATTCAGAAGCAATTGTAATGCTTCATTTAGATGTGAAATAAATACTGAAACTGGAATTCCAAAAACTAAAAACTGAGTCAAATTTAAATGGAAATATGATTCATGTAAAACTGGAAAGCTGCTTCTGGATGTGAATCAGCTGAAAGGTTCCTAGAGTCCGGACATAATGGACATAAAGAGGAGAACACTAAAGTCTTCAGAAGAAATGGCCAAGTTTCCCTGGCAGGGATCCAACTGGGAGAAAGTTCAACAGTCTCAAAAAGAGTTTCAGTCAGGGTCAAGCATCTTTAGTGGATCACTTAGAGCGGAGAGGAAAGATAGTCTGGGGAGGCGGCGTATATCTGAGACTCTGTGTTTTCATTGATAACACTTCCCTCTGAGCCAAGGAGGAGAAAAATGGGGAAAGCCAGTCTAAATTTATCTCCGAACCTCGTCCCACTTTTTATGGCATCAGGCTCAAAACAAACGTGTGGACTTCCCTCCTGAGTGAGCAACCTTTCCCCCAGATGTATCAACCCCCCACCCCCTGCTGTTGTGGACTCCTTTTCCCTCCCCCCCTTCATCCCTGAACAAGACAAAACCCCTCCTCTGTCTCTCCCAATGGTATGAATGGGAAGTGTGCCAAAGTTCAGGAGATCCTTCTGACCCCCCCGCCCCCCGGTCACCCTGCAGCCCTCATTCCTTTGGAGTACAGGTGTCAATCTTTCATCAGAGGCAAACAATTCTACACAGAAACTAATTTCCACATCAGTAATGAAAAGTTGTTGCCTCGCAAAGCAAACTAAAGCACCAAGTAGCTCCAGAGTCTCTGTTTCTAGATATCTTCCCTTAAGACCCCGCCCCTCCCCATACATTACCATCTGATCACTCCCCATGCATGCAGCAGCCATGCACACCTACGTCACCAACCGGACGCTTTGCACGTGAGGGAGGTGTTTCAGGTCACAGACAGGGGGAAAGGGGGGAGGATGAGGAATGTAAAGGGTGACTGCCATGTAACCCTATAGGTTGCAAGGCCAAACAGCTGTAAAGAGGGGGGAGTTCTGCTTGGGAACTGGGGGAAAGGTCATGTTTACAACGGAGACGCTCTGTTGTTTTGAAAGGTTTTTATCAGGTTCATTTCAGTATCTCCGGACTCTTGCGATAAGCTGTCTCTGAATGGCAGAGTTTTATTTGCAAACACTCTGCCCTCCTAGAGTTTGGCAGAGGGAGCAGAGTTCAAATTATTCTGGACTGTCCTGTGATGAGTCCTCTCAGTTTTATGATATTTAATGAATTTTTGCCTAAACAGTTTTTTTTCCCGTCACTTCGGGGGTGTAGAGGATGCAACATATATACCAAGCATTGTCATGCCTCCGGAGGACTGCAGAAACCCGCCTACATGATGTTGCTGGACAAAATATCTTACATCCTTTACAGGTCGCTATCCTGGAAGAAGTCAAAAAGAGAAAAAAGCAAAATCCAACACATCTGTCCAGTTAGATGCCTGGTAGAGTTTGTGTGCCTGAAGCAGTAGTTACAGTAGTAGCCATTCAAAATTTCTCCACTTTCCTCAATGGGCCCTTGGCTGATCCCCTACAATTCCTTTGTAAACATCAATCTTTGTACTAAAATATTCGTTCTGTCATGATTTGTGGACATTAAGATCTAAAGAGAAGCGTCATCTCCTGGTCAGACCCTGTAATTCAGTGAAAGGGTGGAGTCAGAGTAATAAAAACATGCCAGATAAGTCATTTTTTCTTAAAATAAGTGCACTTGTTCTTGGATTGAGGAGGTAAAAGAGACATTTTGCCAATGGAACAAGACAATTTACACTTAAAATAAGGCAACACAATTGTGTTGTCTTATTTCAAGTGCATATTATCTGATTATCTTATTTTAAGAGTAAAGATACTCATTCCATTGCCAAACTATCTCATTTACCCACTCAAATTAAGGGTAAATACAGTTAATTTAAGTCATTGTTATTTATTTCTAGATTGTTTTTTCCAGTGCCCTAGTGGCTGAAAGTTGCACTGGAAAAACAAATTGAGTAGGTAAATGAGATAGTTTGCCAATGAAATTAGTATTTTTACTCTTAAAATAAGATAATTAGATAATATGCACTTAAAATAAGACAACATTTAAGTGTAAATTGTCTTGTTCCATTGGCAAAATGTCTCTTTTACCTCCTCAATCCAAGAACAAATGCACTTATTTTAAGAAAAAATGACTCATCGAGATTTAGGTTATTTCCAGTGAGATATTTCGCTAGCCTCGTGAGACCATCCTGATCTCGCGAGCTTTCAAGGTTTCACTCGCAAATCAGTCTGGAGACTCTCCGTTAAAGAAAATTTAGAGCCGTTCACCAAACGAACGTCCAATCAGCGTTGGCTTTGAGGCGGGTTGAGGTGTGACGCAACAAGAAGCGCGACAGTTCAGTCTAAAGAACATGGCGGCTTCAGCCGATGAAACTAGCGTTAGCGTGGCTATCGAGCAAGTTTTATCGGAATTACAGAGTATTTCTTCACTGAAAGAAGAGCAAAACACTGCTCTGGAGGCTTTTCTCAGAGGAAAAGATGTTTTTGCTCTTCTCCAGACAGGTTTCGGCAAAAGTAGCCTGGCTTGTGGTTGTGTTTTCGTTGTCGCTCTGTTAGTACGTCATATGCTTCGTTGATCTGATTGGTTTATTTGGCCCGTCTATCACCAACATAGGCCAATCAGCTAACCAGTATTTTCGCCCCCTTCCCAAAATTACTTCAATGGAAGGTTTCCAGATGGATATGTGGAGCAAATCCATCTGGCGGAGTCAGGTTAGGATTTCGCTGGGATTGGAGGGAAGGGGGCTGCCATTCGGCTGGTGTTTGACTGGAAAAGGCCATTTTGAACGGCTGCTGCTGTAGAGTGGGGCTAGAATTCTCTTGAATGCTCGGACAATGAGTTATGTTGAAGTTTAAGCTGTTTAAATGCAGGTAGAAGCCATACTGAGTGTTGGATCTATCTCTCTGCGATGTTGCAGAAATGGCCACAGACTGTCATGAACTGTTCCTGAGAGGAGAGACCACCAGCGGGATCTACACCATCCGGCCAACTGACTCCGAGCCTTTTAACGTCTTCTGTGAGATGGCACCTGGTGAGTGACCTGGAAGTTTTTCCCTTTCTTTGAACTTTTTTATTTTGTTCTTGTTTTTTTGTTTTTGTTTTCTGGTCAACCTAACATTTGTTTGATCGTATTTTCGATATCTCTCTGTTCAGATGGTGGATGGACAGTCATCCAAAGACGCCAGGATGGCTCTGTGGACTTTAACCAGCTGTGGCAGGCTTACGAGAAAGGCTTTGGCATTCTAAATGGTAAATACTCTTTAGAGTTTTATCTACTTTCACTATGAGGTGTTATCTGGTCAGTGCAGGGTCAGGGTGAATCTCGTTTAATTCTTCTGAAGGCCTTCAGCAGCTCATGGTACTGGGTATAAAGACAGTGAGAGACGCGGGAAGGAAGTGCATTCGTTCTTGGATTGAGGAAGAAAAAGAGGCATTTTTCCAATAGAACAAGACAATTTACATTTGAAATGAGAAAACACAGTTGCATTGCTTTATTTCAAGTGCACATTATCTAATTATCTTATTTTAAGAGTGAAAATACTCATTCCTACTCAAAATAAGGGTAAACACATTTAATTTAAGACATTTTTACTCATTTCTAGATCTCTTTTCCAGTCTACAACATATGCAAAGATCTTGAGCTTTGGGTTTTTTTGGACTAATCCTTTTCTGTTCCTGTTCAGGGGAGTTCTGGTTGGGCTTGGAAAACATTCACGCCATTGCCAAAGATGGGAGCTACATCCTGTGTGTCAAATTCTCAGACTGGTCAGATGACATGGCTTCTGTCTGCTTCGCTCTTCAACTTAGTGGAAGAGAAACCAACTATACACTGTTGGTCAAGGGGGTTGGTCCTGATGATAGGCTTCAGAGCTCCTTGACCACCGACTCAGCCACCGGCCTGCCTTTCTCTACTCAGGACCGAGACAATGACTGGAAAGCTGAAAACTGTGCCAAATACCTTTCCGGTAAGTCCTAACAGGGGCGTCCATGTTACACAGACTCTGGCAAGTCTGCAGCATGCTAACCAAATCTGATTCTGTCTCTGAAGGCGGTTGGTGGTTTAGCAACTGTGGTCGCTCCAACCTGAACGGACGATACTTCCAGAGCCCTCCTCCTAAACAGCGGCACCAGAGGAAGCAAGGCATCTTCTGGAAGACCTGGAGGGGACGCTACTACCCTTTGAAGTCAAGCACAATGATGATTGCTCCTGCCGCTATCAACAAGTCCTAAAGAGCTAAAAATGGCAAAGAGGAGGACGATGTTGGGAGAAAGGAGCAGATTCTTGACTGCCTTTTACATTCTTGTACCTGGATTTTTTTTGTAGATACACCCAAATATTTGGTTTTTCCTTTGTGAGAAACCCGACACCAGACCCACAGGACTGAAAGCAGAGGAACAAGCAAACTCATATTTTAAGACATTTTAGTGATCTATTGTGTTAAAAGAGAAAGATTCCTTATCGTCATGTAACTGAGACTCCAACTAAACATGCAGTGGAACATTTTTCAGATATGTTTATCCTGATGAGGTTTCCTTCTGTAGACGTGAGCAAGTCTCTGCTTGTATTCTGAGCTGGGAGTCATCAAGCATTTTCCAACAAGCTCAGGCGCCTCACTCGGGGTGATGGGGCTTACTGCTGAGGTTTAGTAATTAGCAAACAGGGATATTAGACTGAAATTATCTGCAGAACTGCTATGTTTTTGTGCATAATATGCGCACAAGTGAAATGCTGATTCAAGAAGCTTTTAAAACCGCAAGCTGTGGTCCAAATAGACTCTTAAACACAAGCAGCTGCTTTCTGGCATAATAAAAATGGAGTTGGATGACCTGGTATACTGACATCAACTAGCTTCAGGCTATGCTAACCCTTAAATTGCTCACTGTTGCTGCCTCTTTTTACCACATACTTTATTCTCTATTATTAAAACTCAAATGAAACTATTCTTCACTATTTTTTATGTGGAGAATCTGATATTTAGTCATATTGACTAGTACTTCAATAAATGAGTATGTTTGTACATATTTATAAAATGTTTTTTTTTTTAGAAATGTATTTGTTTCTAGTTTTTGCCCAACAATTTCAGAGTTTAATGTTTTAGACTTTTTTATCATAGTTTTATTTAAATACATGTATCTATTATATGCTGCTTTCTATTTGTAATTTATGTTGTGGGTTTTTTCTTTTTGGTGACAATTTTGGCCACATTGAGCCATTAAAGTTGATTTGAACAAATCTGTGATGATATCTGGTGTTGCAGCAGCCCACACCCTGTGACTAGCACTGGTCTTTATGGTTCCTGTTCTTGGTTAACCCCTTTATTTTTCCTTGGATTAAAAGTCAATATAATGCAGAGTTGCACGCTATTATTGCAAGTAATAGCGATTACTTTCATTGTATTTGAATACATTAGCAAACGATTAATACAATGGCAATAGTTTTATGCAACGTTAATGCTGCACACAATGATCACGTGATGACGAAATACACCCGAACATCCGCCCTACCCCTTAGATCAGAGGTCTTCAACAGGGGGTTAGGGATGTTGAAGACCATGTACTGCATGGGGGTCGCGAAAGTCTTGGTTGATTACTTTTTTTTATATTCCCTCCTGCAATTTTTTTGCACTAATTAAAATGTCTTTAAATCCACATTAACATGAATTCAACACACTGTAGTAAACAGATAAATGGAGGCAGAAGATGTCTTTCAGTCATCAATGCTCACATTCAGAGACACACAGGAGCTCTTTTCAAGCTGGGCACCGTTTCATTCACAACACCTGTCCCATCAACCAGGAATCAGATCCAGAAATACTTTAACAATCCCAGGGAGAAATTACTCCATATGCAATAGAGTGACTATAGGACCAGTTTGATATAACACAATTTCATACAATATACATAATTAGGGGGTCCCCACTCCATCTCGCAATCAGTTTGGGGGTCCTTGGCTTTGAAAACGTTGAAGACCCCTGCCTTAGATCCCTCAATCTGTCATGATCTGGCCTGTTTGCTCTCCCTTAATTAGTCATTCCTTTCACCTGTCGTTTTCCCTCCCTTCCTCAATTATAATTTATTCCTCTCACCTGTTTCCTCTTGGTTACATTCAGTTCAGCCTGAGCATTCAGTGGCAGATCACTAATTTCTTGGTTCATGTCCTGGATCCTGGCGGCCAGTGGAAAGAGGGTTTTGTGTCTGTCTCGTCTCCTGATCGTCCACTGTTCCTCCCCTGCTGAGTCCTCTGGGTTTTTGGCTCTGTACGCGGGGAGGTTCAGTTTTTATCAAAGTAAGCCTGGCTCCAAGCTGGAGACCAGTTTAAAGTCCTGCATCAAGTTCTGGTTCCACGTCGTGTCTCGGCTACCCTCTTCCACTGAGCCTGCTCAGCTGCACCTGATCCTCTCTGCTCCTGTGCGTGAACACCTGGTCACGCTTTCGGACCCTGTCAGACTCTGAACCTGTCCTGGAGCTCTGTTATTGCCTGGAAGCCTGGATCCTGCCACCTGTTCCCCCTCAGAGTGTCTGAGATTGGGCGGTGCCCCGCCCCCCTCCTGCAGTGTTCGTGAGCCTCAGCTCCACTTCAGTTTTTGCTTTATTTTAATAAACTTTTTGAACTTTCCTACTGACTGTCTCTCCTTGAATACTGGGTCCTTCTGTCCTAGTTTAATAACACAATCACTATATATAATTCAGTTGTTACAACTTAGTTTGCAATGCAATGAATTTAATATAACATTCCGACTTTAAACTCGTGATTTTATAATTTTATTCTCATATTATTATTACCTTGTTCTAATAATGTTTTGACTTCAAATTTATAATGTTAAAATTTCATTCTTGTAGACTTAAAATTCTGGCTTTATTTTCTTGACTTTATTCTCATAATTTTAGGACTTTGATCCTGTAGACTTTCTGTTATGTTTTTAATTTTTTCATAGTATGATTTTATCTTTCATGATTTAAAAAATATATATTTTTTAATATGGTTAGTTAATACGGTTAGTATGTATATACATCTCTTTAGTTGTGCACCAAACAGGTTAATATTATAACTGATAAATGAAGCAAATAACATCGATTATCTCTTCATCATGGCTCCTGTTTGCAGGCAGGTTATTAAAAAATGGCTGCATCCCTATAATCAAGCTTCCATCATTGTCTCCCTTTATCCATAATTTGGTTAAGCATGCATCTAAGCAGACTTTGTCAAATTGTATTTGAACTACAGTTCATTTCTGCCTGTTATATTAACCAAAAACGTGAGACGATGATGTAACCCAAACTGTCCCAAATCTCCAAACATGGATGCTTGCAACCGGAGCATTCGAACTGTTATGTGCATTATGACAAAGTACCCAGTTCATAGAAAGGTGTATTCTGGGTATTGTTGCTCTTCCTGGTTCTTTAAGTAAGGATGTGTTTGTTAGCTGCAAAGGTAGTTGGCTCCTCCTGCTGGAAAGACATTGTTTGTTGTGTTTATGGGAGTTCTGTAGAAAGAACCAGCTGAGTTTGCTCAGTATCACAGTGACTTTAATAAAGCAGGGGTGAGAGCAAAACCGCCTGGTTCCTGGATGTTCTATCAGACCGCTATAAAACATAAGTAAGCTGGAAAATTTGTCTTAATGTCATGTGTCAGACACCAGCAGCGAAAGGGGTTGTGCAAATTTAACTAGGATTAAGCATGAGTGGGTTCAAGCATCTCTGCTCTGCAGTGCAATCAATACATGCTGGTTACAGAATATTGTTGATTGGAAGAAAAATCTTAGAAGCTCAGAGGTGTCAGCTTTAATTGGTGACCTTGCACTTAGTGCATCGAGCTTTGAATCCTGAGCCCCACAGGTTGCCACTCAGGGTTCTGGAGCCAGACCCCTAACCCCAGACTGATCCTCTGGAGCTGCACATTAGCTTGCACACTGCAAAAACAATCTGAAATTAAGTAAAAATGTCTTAAATCAAGTGTATTTACCCTTAATTTGAGCAGGTAAATAAGATAGTTTGCCAATGGAATGAGTATTTTTACACTTAAAATAAGATATTTAGATAATATGCACTTGAAATAAGACAATGCAATTGATTTTTCTTATTTTAAATGTAAATTGTCTTGTTCCATTGGCAAAATGTCTCATTTATCTCCTCAATTCAGGATAAAATGCACTTATTTTAAGAAAAAATGACTCATTAAGATTTACATTTTTTGCAGTGCAGCCTTAAAAAAAAAAAAACTATTAGGAAGTGGCAGCCTAGTTGTTAGGCCATAGGGCTTGGAATCCTAAAATTAATTTCGAAACCCACTCCCACAAACTGCCACTCTGGGTCTCTGAGCATGACACTTGACCGTGGACCACCATTGCACCATTGCTCCCTGTGCGCCCCACGATGGCACCCCTCACTGCAGAAATAATCCAGAAATAACTCAAAATGTCTTAAATTAAGTGTATTTACCCTTGATTTGAGTAGAAAAATAACATGATTTGCCAATGGAATTAGGATTTTTACTCTTAAAATAAGGTAATTAGATAATATACCCTTGAAAAAAGACAAATAGTTTTTTTTTCTTATTTTAAATGTAATGTTTCTTGTTCCATTGGAAAAGTGTCTCATTTACCTCCTCAATTCAAGAAAAAACGCACTTATTTCAAGAAAAAAATTACTTATTTAGACTTTTTTCCACTGCAAAAACAATCAAGTAAAGATTTTTTAAATTAAGTGTACTTAACCTTAATTTGAGTAGGTAAATGAGATAGTTTGCCAATGGAATGAGTATTTTTACTCTAAAAATAAGATAATTAGATAAAATGCACTTGAAAAAAGACAATGTGATTGTTTTTTTCTTATTTTAAATGTAAATTGTTTTGTTCCATTGGCAGAGGGTCTCACTTACCTCCTCAATAGAAAAAAAATCACTTATTTTAAGAAAAAATGACTTAAGACAAAAATGTTTTGCAGTACAACACTGCAAAAACAATCTAGAAATAAGTAAAAATTCCTTAAATCAAGCGTATTTTACCTTACTTTTGGTAGGTAAATGTGATGATTTGCCAATGGAATTAGTATTTTTACTCTTAAACTAAGACAATTAAATAATATGCACTTTTAATAAGACAATGCAATTGCTTTTTCTTATTTTAAATGTAAATTGTCTTGTTCCATTGGCAAAGTGTCTCACTTACCTCATCAATTCAAGAACAAATTCACTTAGTTTAGGAAAAAATTACTTATTTAGATTTACATTTTTTGCAGTGAAGGGGATGGGTTAAATGCAGAGATAAATTCCTCTATTGTGAGATCATATTATCATTAATTGTCAGTGCTATGTTTTGCACTTCCTTGCCTCGCCTAATAATCTGCTTCATCCATTGTGATCCTCCAGGCACCTGTGTCACCGTTGGAAATCTACACAAGTAATTTTTTCTTAAAATAAGTGCAGTTTTTCTCCAATTGAGGACGAAAGTGAGAAACTTTGCCAATGGAACAAGACAATTTACATTTAAAATAAGAAAAAAACAATTGCATTGTCTTATTTCAAGTTCATATTATCTAATTATCTTATTTTAAGAGTAAAGATACTAATTTCATTGGCAAATCATCGTATTTACCTACTCAAATTAAGGGTAAATACACTTAAGACATTTTTACTTATTTCTAGATTGTTTTTGCAGTGTGCACTCAGCCTCCCTCAGGAAGGAAAGGGTTCTTATATTCATTTAAAAGTGACAAAGAGGCATTCATCAACCTTTTATTCTCTTTGGAGATCTTGACTTTTCCTGATCTTAGAATAAGTGCTTTAGTTCTGCTCTGATTACTGGTAAAACTAGCGACTTACCTTAGCATGACCCTATGGGCCATTTGGATCATGTGTCTATGAATTTATTTGCATCTTTTTCCCTTCATATCAGTAAATGGCTTTGAAAAAAAGTATCTCACCTGAGATACTTCTTTAG